GGCATTTTATTGATGTTGACAAAATCCGACCATCCCAGCGTCGAAACGGCGAAGTTTTGACAAAAAATTTCGTTTTCCCTCAATAACTCCTAAACTGCTGGTCCTACGAGAAAATTGCATAGGACCTTTCTTGTAGAGGATGACGAAATCTACAATTTCTGTATAAAAAGTTTTCGCTAGCATTAATAGTTTACGAGTTATTTACGAAAAACGAGAAAACAGTTTTTTGCAAATTACTCGTTAACTATTGACGCTAGCGACAAATTTTTACATGGAAATTGTAGATTTCGTCATCCTCTACAAGAAAGGTCTGATGCAAATTTTCCGTAAATCAAACGGTTTAGGAGTTATTGGCAAAAAACGAAAATTTCGCAAAATCTGAAGGGGTACCCCTTGGAAAAATCTCGGAAAAATCGAAAATTTTTTTTTTGTTGTTTATTATTAGCAATGTTCTTCCGAAATCTGATTTCATTTTAAAAAATGCGTTTCTAAAGTGCATAAACTTTTGGGATTGACTGTATAGCCAATACATCCTTAAAGATCTGATCGCCCCTACGTTTGTCGGGTGTAGAAGAAATCTGAACGAGCATTTCTTTTTAGAACAGAGGAAGGGGAACAGAAAATAATTTCCAAAAATGATCGGGTAAACGTTGGGAACCTCTGCCGCAGGGTGTAATGGAGGCACGGCTAGCAATAGATGCATATCAATGAGTATTCGGCATACCGAAGCGTTCGACGTCCGGGTGTCGCGAATAGTAAAAGCGGCTCATCTGAACTGGTGTAAACGAGGTGGGAGAAGTAACCGTTTTCTGCGTCGAGCTATTTTTATGACGCTTGGAGAATTTTCTCCAACATGCTGGAGCACTTGAAGAACACTTGTGCTCGCATTCCGTTACGTTTACGCAACGCCGGTTCGCCGTTGTCGAGAGAGCATCGACGCTACCATGTTCCGCGAATGGAGATCAAGTGGCCTGGCTTTTTAATTTTCTAGTAGGCGCGGCCCTCCCCCGGGGCCGCGGTCCCTTTTTTTCGAAGGCCACTCGTAATAGTTTCCTCCTCCCAGGATCCTTGAGACTGGCCGTGAGAAACTGGCTCGCGCATCTTCTCTCCTCCCTTCGTTCTTTTACTTCCTCTTTGATGTCCGCTTTTTCGTGCGAACCCACCTATGAGCTGGTGACTCATATCCCTTTTTCCACGCTGGAATTTAAATTGAATATTCCTACAATGTGGGTACGTTCCAGCTTTATGAGCAGTACTAGCTTTTACTTTCTGTTGATTGCTCTTTTTACTGATCCTTCGCCAACAGATAATTTTTATGACAAATGTGTTTCGATTAAGGCTTTTCGGGAGCATTGTCTTATCAGAGACTACAAAGGTTATCGCGAGTCAACCCTCTTACGACTCATCCCGTTGTCTGTAAGAAAATCCATTCACAAAAACTGCTGTCTGTAGCGCATAGAAATTTGTCTTATTCATGGTAAACGACGTAAATGCTCTACTTTCTTGCGACATGCACGGAGTTATCGTACAAACTGTATTAGACAACACGCATCCATGAGCTCCTTACGTAGTGATCTATTCATTTTATATTTTATAGTAGATTAAAAAATTGTGAAGCGCGCGTGAAAGAGAAGGTTCACGGGCCATCGAGAAAACGCGAAATGGCACGTTACGAAGTATAGAAAAAGCAAACTGCGAGTCGCGATCACAGGTAAGCCGTGAAAAAAGCTGCGGAAGAGCTGTTCTCGTGACTGATATCGACATTTCAAAATTGCTACCGTTCGACGTCCATTGTCGCGTGTCTCTCCACGCTGTACTTACACAGAGACAGATTTCCGTTGACGCGGGCGTGAAAAGTCGAGGAATATTCTCTGGCAGCGTCTCTCGGTAGGAATAAAGGGAAAAAACGAACGAGGAGAGAGGACAAAAAAAAAAAAACGTTTTCGTCTTCGTCGAGTCTGTGACTCGGTGAGGAAACACGGAATTGAAGTGGAGAGCTGGAAGCAATGGGGCTGGAGAATGGGTAGGGAGAAGAAAGGGTGAAAAGAGGAGAGTCTTTCGCTGGAAATTATCGACGATACGTCGATAAAATGCATTTGCGGCAGCCATTGTGTCTTTCATGAGAGACCGTGACAGACGGCGTACCGTGTCTGATAGATCTGCCGGCTAGGCTGTCTGAATCGTTTCTCGTCCTCGCCGAGCCGCGCCGGTTTGATTGAACCGCGTTGCGTGCTCCTCCATCGCCGGTCATGAAACTGTATTTACTTAGATTTATGTGACGTACAACCGCGCAACAAATCGTGTTCCTTGAACCGATTACCGAAGGAAATGCGATTCTCGTGCTTTCCTGATCTGTGGATTTCGCGCCCTCGAGTCCTTTGAACATTCGAAGAACGATATTAAACGTTTCACGGAAGTGAATATGAAATCTGCAACAAATTTAATAATATTCCCTCCTGCGGCAAGACATATTGGATTGGGCATAGTTATCCGATATCGCGTGAAATCGAAATGGAGAAACTCTGCGGTGATCACTCGCGTCAGAATTGTGGTAGCTGAGTCACACCACCAGTGAAAGCGGCATTCTTTCCGTGTCTCCGGACATTAGACTCAGCTTCGTCTCGTGTTACCGTTGCCTCGACAGGGTTTCTTATTTAGGGAAGTCTCTCGTCGTGAATATTAGCCTTCGGTTCATAATTACGATCTTGTTACGCGGATATTTAATACCGAGCTCGGTGGACATCGAAGCTGCGCGACGTAGAGCTTCTTCGGGGTAAAAAGGCTCGATAAATAAACCCGACCAGTGTATCGAGATCCTTTATGTTTGCTCTCAGTTTAATTACCTACCTCGGGAGATGGTCGAGCGAGTTCGTTCCTCGTGTATTTGCAGACCTAATCCACACTTGTCCGTTCTCTATTTATTCTAACGTAAGACGGACTTAATCCGTACTTACGCTGGATCAAGTACAGATTCCGAATGTTTTTCTTTCATCCGTTCTCTGATACCTTGGCGCGTCGCACGTAAGAAGATTAGAAATTAGGAGCGAGAGGGAATAAGAAATGAATGGAAGCAACGCTCGAGGTATACAAGAATATTTTATTCGTCGAAAGTAACAAATATAGGTACAGTTCTTCGAAATAAAGTTACGTCGATTTAAAAAAAAAAGAAGAAGAAACTCGATTTTCATCGCGAATCGAGGCCGTGTTTTCGGGCTTCCGGCCGATCTGTTCGGTTTGGTCGCCGGGATGCGCGACGGCGCAACGCGGGGCAGTGGTATTGTCGACGCGTGCACGAAAGAAACCGCGGGGCGCGTACACTTTAACAAACATCCGAATGGAAAACGTAAACGGAAACGGGGCTCGTAAGTATTTGGAACCGAGTCGAGTATAATTTTGGCACGATTGTCCTCTTCCAGGAAACCGGTGGCCACTCGCGTGTGCTCGTGCATCCTTATTATCGTATTCATATAATATAACAAATCGATAAAAAAAACGTGTTTCTCACCGTTTTATCTCGTTACGCTTCTTGTATCGCGTTCGTCCCTCCTGCTCGATGTTCTATCTAACCATATATATAATATTTATATATATATATAAACATCCGTCTAAATGGATACATCCATTCGTGTCTGCTCCGACAGCGTTTTATATTTACACATTTATAACCATCTAAACGTACAGTCTCTAGTTTTACTTCGTTTCACGATTATTATTACAATAGCTCCGAGAAGCAACGTTCATATTACAAACGGAAGTATGTACAAAAGGGTTGACAAAGCGGGGGTGGAGGGCCCCGCACAAATTAAGGCAGTGTTTCGATGAGTTCGTCGAACATCGCACAGTTACACGATTCACCAAGTTTTACTCGTTCGTTCGTACTTTCACTCACCACTTTTGCTCGTTCAGAGCCACGGTCCCAGCTGAGCTTCCAGTATCGTGGCCGCGTCCGTTCTTCCCATCACGCGAAGGTGATTCAGAAGATCGGTTACGGCGGTCGGCTCGTGGTGTTTCGCCTCCCACAGGTCCAAGATATGCTCCGTCGGACTGGACTTCGTTGCGAAGTAATTGATGTACCTGCGAATCGAATAAAACCCACATGTTTTTCTTACTATCAACGAGGAAACGTGATGATTCTTACACTGAGAATTTGAGCACTTCTAAAAGAAGTTGGATAAGAGAATTCGATATTTATGAATCAAGAGACCTGAGGAAATGGTCTGAGTAATCGATTACGGACAACGACTTCTGTAAGAGTCGTGCCAGAGAAACTATAGCTGTCCCCGGAGGATATCTGAATCGATTGAACTACCGAGAAACGAGTAGCCGCGAGCAACGAACCTGTCAACCTGAAGCCTCTGCGCCAGCATCCTCCAGTCGTTGCCAAGAGCGTTCGGTGGATCCAGGCATTGGCAGAGTTGCTTCCTCAGGGACCTGGTGAACCGAAACGGTCTGAGGGTGGTAGAATCGGTGGTCGCGTTATTAGCATGCCCGCTGCTGACCACGGTCACCTCTCGAAGCGGTCTGGTCACGCTCCCGGACGAGATCAATTGCTTCGCGGCGTCGTACACGATTCTGAACACCTGTCTGGTTTCCGAGTTCCCTTGCGACACCTGAAGCTTGTAACTTCTGCTCGTCGTAGGACCGAAAGCGGTGTCCAACCCGAAACTGACGTGTTTCGTGTTTTCCAAGCAGTTCCACAAGTCGCCAAACGAGATTTCTTGTCTCTCCGTCGGCGACTTGCTCTGCCATTCGTTGCCGACCTCTTCTAAACTGACGCAGAGCGATTCCCCGTTGTCTTGGAACAACAGAGTCCTCGGCTTGTCCAATAGATATCCCCTGATTTGAGTTTCCCTGTCGACGATCGCTTTCATAGCTGCTTTCGTGTCCTCCACCGCGTACACCCTCACGCAGCACTGGCCGGCTTGGCTAGCGAACAGCGCGACTCGCAACCTCTTCGTTGCGATCACGTTCTCGCAACTCTGGCCAGCTAGGACGTAACCCCGAAGCTGTTCCGTAACGATGAACGCCTCCGCGTGATCCAACTGCGTGAACAGGGGCGTGTTAATCGTCTCGTTGCCAAGCGTCAACACCCTAGTCCATGCGATCGATTGATGATCCTTCGAGGAGGCGACCGCCGTCCCGTCCTCAACGCTCAGGCCGTCGCAAGCCCAGACGCTGAGCTCCCACGTGGCCGGGTGGAGCATCGCGCAGTGCTCGAATTGCAGGATCACTGGTTTGTTGAACGTCGCCGACGATGGCCCGCACGTCACCACCGCGGACAATTGCGTGATACCGTCTATCGTAAAAGAGAGGAACGTCCAATGTCTAATTTTGTCAGACGATCTATTGTCATTTGTCATGCGATTTGTCAGGCGAGGGAAAAAATTTTCTCCAGTGCAGAAGGTCTGCTCTGTTCGAAAGTAATTTTTTAAAACGTTCCGACCATAATTTCTGCACAATACCGATAACCGAGCATCGCGCATAGTAATTAGCTGAAAGACAGGCGAGGCACTCGATCGCATGGAGAACTTGCGTCAATTGAATCGTAATCGAGGCGGATCGATGGACGGTGCAGCGTAACCGTCACGAGCAACGCTTGGCAATTAATAATGCACGCACCACTTACCGGGTAATCGAGGCCTAAAGCGATCCTCGTTGAGCACCGCCAGGTAGAGTTCCTCCCGTAGCGGTTTCGGAACGGCTCCCTCGGGCACCGACATCGATATGCCAGCGTCCGGTAGCACGAGGAGCGCGCCCCGCGTGTTCACCGCGGCCCCGGCCACGTTTCCTGTCTCGAGCTTCGGCAGGCGTACGCTCTCCGAAGCGACGTTGTACGTCGAGTCGGAGGACGGATAGGAGCTAGTTACGCTGTTCTCGCAATCGGAATGGATCTGTTTGTCGCTGCACGACTCCTGCGTCGAGGTGCTTGGCGTCGGCGACATCGGAGACGGCTGGGGGGCGATCGACAAATGGGGGACGTCGTAGTGGTGCTCGGAGAGGGATCTCGACATCGACAGCTTCGGGTCGAAAGGATACTCGTAACAGGCCGGCACGCTCGTCGCTGTCACGTCCGGCTGAAGGCTCAGCTTCTTGTCCTGGTCCTGGTAGAACTCCGGCTGGAATTCTGAAACGCACACCGCCGAGCCACGGCTCGTGGATATCTCTGCGCGCTGCGGACAGACGCCGCTGTGATACTACTCCGATCGACCGCCTTCGCTACTCTCATCGTTTCTTAAAAATCTTCTCCGTTCGATCGAAAAGAGAATGCGCGAGAGTAGCGAACGCGCAACGTCGATCAAACCTCGAAATAACATTGTTTCGATCGAGCGAAGGACCGAGTCACGATTAACTATTTTAGAAATGCTTACCATTGCGTGCCATGGAGTAGAGGGAATGGTCCCGACCTTTGCGTCTGAGAAGCTTCGCTAGGAAAAATGCCAGGCCGCCGATTACTACACACGCGACGGTCAGCCCAACGTACAGAGCCACGTCCATCTGCCGGTTCGCTGTAACCATCCAACGATGCGTTCCTTTTTATGTTCACACTAAATTAGGCGAGTCAACGTTAAAACCTTGACACGAGGCTTTCGTTGCCCGAAACACGCGAACGGAAGGATGCCCGCTAATTCGAGACTTTGTTACACGCGGTGGCGTTAAGCCGCGCGTCGAAAGATTATCGCCCGGTCGGAGATCGCGGTAACCAGCGGCGTTAATTCCTCGTTTTAAGGGGCCAGTCCGCGATACGATCTCTCGGGAGAGAACGTTTAAGACGTACCGTGCAAATGGCGTTGGTAATTCTCGCGTATCCACGAGAAGCGTGATCCGAGCGGACGAGTGGACTCGGCCACCATTCATGAATAATTTACGTGGCAACTTTTATACGCCCTCCTTCTTCCTTCTCCTTTTTACGACGAAACGTGTTCACGCGGACCGGGAGTTCCCCTTGGCAGGAGCAAAGGAAAAACGAAGACGAGCTTTTTAAACGTTTCCCGCGTACCGCTAAATATTACGAGCATCGCGTCCAGGAAAAGTTTTAAGCTCGGTTCCTCTCCATTTACGCGAGTGGGGACACGCTCGTTTCAAAGTCTTCCCTCCTCTCCCGGTTTATCGTTTTACAGCGTCCCGCTTACGACGATAAACAGTCGGATCATTATTGTCGCGGCCTTTAAACGCGGCCGCGTAATAAAAACCAGCGTGGCGGGCGCCGTTCGAACGGAATAATAATTTTAAGTGGTCGGCGAACAACCGATGGCAACAAAGAAGACGTGGGACGCGATTAAAACCGTGAAAAATGTCGGAGAGCGGTCGCCGGCGAACGGTATTGTGCAAGATAGCCTCTCGTTCGTATGAAATCGGGATTGAATTACGCTGTATGTAAAGTTTCTCCGGGATCCAAGGCAAGTTTTATGAATTATGTAACGGAGAATTGATCGGCGCTTTTTGTCGTGCAGTGGCTGTACGTATCGCGTCGTAAATCGTGGAACTTCGAGAATATCGATTTACGAACCTAGCAGAGAGCCCGATGAAGATTTAAGTGCGACACGATTTTCGTCACGTTGATCGATTCTTCTCTACACGTCTTAAGCGGGACAGTAAGAAAACGTCAGCTTGTAATATCGGGTAACCGCGTGGCTAAAGGATTTTCGAGAAATATCGAGCGTCGCGGCGACGGCATGGTAGCGAGACGTCGACGACTGACGTTCCTAAGCTTCTTCCAATTTTAGAATGTCAAAGCCATTCCCGGTTGTAACCGTGGTACGTGACTCCCGGGAGCCTGGTTCTTGCAGGATCATGTGCGTCTGTGCTTGGCGCACGCTCGTATCCCGCGGACACGTGCTTCGAACATCAATATAACGCGGGCGACGAAAACGCATTCACGGGGGAGGAAGATATGTATACCCTAAAAACGCAATAGTTCCACGTCGTTAGACCGAGTTAGGCTCCTTCTTCCTCTCAGGATCCACCCTCGAACTGAAAACCAGCACGCAGGCGGGGTCGCAGAGATTTATTTTCTTAGCTGCAATTGATAACGCTTCATAACCCCGACCTAATGTATCTGAAGCCTATAATTCATACCGGGACCCCTTCCGAAGGCTCTCCCCTATTGTCGTCGCGGTTTCGCCCACCTTTCTCCAAGAGTATAGTAGATATTTCAAAACTAGTTAGTTTGGAATTCTTTATAATTCTCACGGAAACTTTTTGCTTCGACATAAGGCGTTAAATGCGACGAAGTTGACAACGGTTCTCGCGCCTTATGGCTTCCAACCTATCATCCCCTCGCACTTTCGTACAGTCCTCCAGCACTTTATTTGCATGCGCGATCAATTTCCCTGTCGAAGAGAAGGGAAGGGGGTGAGCCGGAGGGCGTAACGGCTACCGATTACATAATTTTCTTCGATATTAAAGCAAGCCACCCCACGGGCAACGGGGCGAGAGAGAACGATATCGCGTGCAACTTTGATGTGGTTCGGTCGATAGAATCGTCCAGCTAACGGGGGCTCTGTGTCTGGATCTATACGAGTCACCCCTTGGCTACCAGCAGCTGCCACCTCATTGTTGCGACTGTTTGGACCGCGATATAGCCCTTCGATGATCGCTGAGCGTCAATAATTAACAGGCCGCGTAATTAAAAGTAAATACGCGCGGAGGGGTCCCGTCGCGCGTAAAACTTGTTGGGCAAATAGAAACGGACGATGAAAGAAGAGAAATTTTTCCCCGAGGCTGGTCGAAATCGATTTATCACAGACAGAAGTTTCGACGCCTGCAGGTGATCAGGGCAGAAAAATGTAGAAGCTTGCGGAAGGGTTAATTAAAAATTGTACATGATCTATTTTCTCCACGGTTATTCGAGGACATATCCGCGTCGCCTTCCGGCTTGCCATTAATATACGATACCGATGGGTATCACTCGCGAGCGGCAGTCGTTACACGATTACTCTGTTCTATTTTCCCGACGCGGGACGCTCGATTTGAATGGTATCAGATCGCGAACCGAGCGAACACGAATATAAACGGCGCTCACGGCCCGTGAAGAATCCATCCAAGAATGTCGCGCAACGAGTTATATAGCTTTTCTCTTCGCTCGTTGGTCGCACCCTGCGCTTACGGTATACAGCTTCGATTTTCACGCGGAGCGGATCGGAGACGAAAAATTTATTCCTAGCCCGTTGATTATTAAACAATAATTATGAAATGAGATTGGGACTCACCTTCTTCGGTCAAGTGCGCGCCACCCATTTTCGTGTTGCTATCTGAAAAAGAAGCGGCAAATCGATAGAAACGAGAGCAGTACCGCCGTTTGTAGAGAGGGACGAAAATGCTGTTTCAATAAAAAATTGCCGCGCAATGTCGGAAGGGGTTGGCGACTTACTGCTGCACATGCCGCCGGTGCAATTGGCGACGTTGGTGTCCCTCCCCTGGCAAGACCGGCCACCGTGGCTAGGCACCGGCTCGTCGCAAGATCTTCTCCTGGTGTGCGTACAATCGGTGCCGCACACCGACCACGCCGACCATCTGGACCATCCGCCGTCCACCACTGCGTTCCCGGGAAAATAAAGAAGAGGAGAACCGTTGTAAAGATCGTCTTTCTCTCGTGGGGTCGCCGAAAGGGAGCACGGTAAAAAGCCACGTGGAAACGAGACGCTCGTAACTCGTTCTCGTATCCCCACGAGCCCTGTTCGAAACCCGTACTCGTCAATTCGGTCGCTTCCTTTCCGTTTAATTGACTCGTACAAGCTTCGCGGAAAAAAGTCGGCCCTCCTTCTTCCCTCTGTACGCGTTTCATCTTCGACCCGTAGCGACACGGTACTTACAAATGGTTCTTTCCCCTTGTGTTTTCTTTTTATCTATTCGTTCGTAAGAGGGGAGTTACGCGGTTCATGTTTTCTCTATTTCTTTGATATATCAAGTGGATTTATGTGAGAACGCTTACCTAGAGTGTTAGTGAACTCCTCCAGTGTGCCGGCTAAGCGAGCGTTAAACAGAAAGACGTATAGGTGCGTTATCGAAAGCGGACAGACATTTGTGAGAAACACAGAAGCGAGACAGTGACAGCTCACACACTTTCAAATCAGGCAACCCCTTGTCTCTTTAAAGAGAGCAAAGGAAAACGTTCGTTTGCATTCACGGCTCGACGATCCTTGAAATAACTACCCGTATCAAAATTCCGCTGGCGCAACACGCGTGACAACGCGACAAGGGGTTAATATTTCACTCGTCGATTCTCCGTGGACGTTGTCTCACCGGCGATTTTCTATTTACACTTGGCGACGGCGTGCGCACGGGTGTCTCGTGGATGCTGAGCGTTTTGCGAAAGGTGAATACAATTTAAGATAGCCTCTCGGAAACGAGACAGCGCTGAGTCGAGAGAGAAGCTCGTAAATCAAATGACGGACGTCGGTAATATCGTAGCAAAATTGGATAGAAGCACGTAGGAAAGGATCGGATAGCAAGGAGTCCTACGTATGATCACGGAACCGAATTGACAGTAATGAACCATGATGCTCTGTAAATTGTATTTCACCTCCGAGGATAAATGAATTGGCGGGACACTCACCGGGACAGTTGGTGTTGCAGTCCGTCTTCTGTTGGAAGGGACCCAAGCACGATTGACCCCCGTTCATCGGGGTAGGGTTCGTGCACGTTCTCGTTCGTTTCTGGCCCCCTTTCGCGCACCTCGAGTGGCATTCCGACCAGGCGGACCAAGAGGACCATCCTCCGTTCACTAGAATTTAATTCGGACATCGCATTGATTTTCGCATTCAGTCTTGTTTGAGTTTGAGATGGGATATAAATTGTAATCGATACGTTTGGATAGAGTCGATACAAGTTTTCCCTTCGACGTTTTGACTATCACGATAATGGATTTGATAATGAAATATTGAAGAGACTTACCGTAAACTGTGAGACTGACAGGCTCGCTGAGCCTTTTGGCAGCGATGTTCTCGGCGACGCAAGTGTAATTCGCTTGATGGCTGAGCTTCGCCTGGCCGATGAGAAGATGTCCCTCGCTGGAGACTAAAAGCGTGTCGGACTCCGTGTCGACGGGGACGTTGTTCCGCAGCCAGTACACCCTCGGCGGTGGTACTCCCACGGGAGGGAGGCACCTGAGTTCGGTGCCCTGACCCGCCTCCACCGATACTGAATACGGCGGGGACTCGAACTGCTTCTTCAAGTCTGGGAATAATAGGATTTATGGAGTTCCGAAACAGGAACACGATACCAGTTTGCATTTAGAATAGGGAACGACGTCGACGTTACGATAATTTCATAAGTAAATGATACGCGAATATTTCTTGTTCATTCTCTGTAAACGCATTAAATTTGCGATATACTTGTTAGAATGGTGAATTGAAAGTAGTCTATCTGTAAATGAAGTTTTCGTTCGGAAGTACGTAAGCGCGAGGCACCGGACAAACGGTTCTTTCCTAAATTGATTCTCTTAGAAACTCGACGGTTGCCGGCCATTGTGTTGGCCTCGCATTGAGGGTCGGAATTAAATAATGACTTCGCTTAGGAGAATCAAGATAATTACGAGGCCGACCAGAAGGGGAAGTAAGACGAAACTCTCTGGTAATTGTACTGACAAGAGAACAAGCAGTCTAACAACTAAATATTTATCGCTGAATTTCTTAGAAGGATTGAGATGTTTTAATTAGAACACATTTCGTATTCGTTCGAGTATCACTTTTAATAATCCGTTTACGATTTGCAAGGGAATAAACTTGATAAATGAACAATGTTCCCTTTGAAATAAGAAATGTTCGAGCACACTTACAAGCGACGTCGACGGTTGCTGGTTGGCTCTTTATTTGGCCGGAACCGGACCAGGCGATGCACTCGCATTTGAACTTGTCTCTGCTGAAGTACTCCTCGATGTGGTCCCTGGTCACGTTCAGTTCGCAATCAACTATCCTAGTGCCCGTGTGCGGATCGACAAAGTCCTGTTGCTGCGAGTCTTCCGCTCTGACGTCGTTGCATCGGAAGTAGATCTGTAGAGCGTGGGCTGCTTTGCAGTGCAGTGTGGCCGGTTTGTTCTTCACTACGAATGAATCCACCGGCTCGGTGAGAAACACCGGCAGATGGCCCCCGGCCTCGGAGATCAGTTCCGTGTCTGTGGCTATCGTCGCCGAAGGCACGTCGTCCTCCTCCAGGAGGTAGGAATCCTCGTCCTCCGCAGCATCCTCGCCTTCTGCGAAAAGATGGAAAGCACATTTTCAAACTCGACGAAGAGAACCAAAGATTTATGTCTCTGATCGAAACTGATTTACGTCCAACGATCGCGAACACGCGTTTGGTTAATTATGAAGATAAAGTTAAAAGTCCAGCCACCGATAGCGGCTCAAGTCCCATGGATTAAACCGAGCGGTATTGCTTATTATCGGCTCGTGATAAATTCATAGAATTGGATTATCGTCATTAACGCGTGCGCCGGGCGGGATGGCTCGCAATCAGGCGGGATCAGGCGGGACGCGCAGTCAGTCATTTGAATTCTAAATACACGGAGCTGCGCTCCCCCCGTCCTTCTCGCTCCCCCCGGAATCGGCGGACGTAATCGTAATTTACGATCGAGTTATTAATTCGCGCGGACGTTATTCACCGTGTCCCGTGGGTTGGGTTCAATTCGAATCGTGAAAATTCTATATTTGCTTGTCAACAATGGCCGGTTTCCCTACCCCTTGTAAATCCTGACGCCGGCCCATTAATGCTCGGCGCCGCGTCTCGCTCGCGCGTGTCCTCTGCTCCTGAACGCGAACAATCGGGCCGGCTCGCGGCCACTGCAGTAATGAATTTTCGGATTTACGCGGCGCACCGGTGCACAAGTCCGATGCATTTCCCGTCGACGCGACCACCGGTTAGACCTTTATCCCCGTGCGACATTTGGCCGGGGGCCACAATTTTCATCGACGATAATCGCCGGACCCTCCACACCCGCGGCAAGGGTCGCGGAAAAATGAAATCGCGACTAAAAAATTTGGCACGCTTTCGTTTCGGGCCGCGTTTCATTGAAACGTAGAGAACATCTGTACACGTTGAACTAGCGAAACGTGTATCGTCATTTTTCGTTATTTGTATATTTAACCGAGTCTTTTTAAACCTGAAATTGTGATTTGCCCGGATAAGCGAACTGGGATTGACGGATGTCACAATTGGGTGTCGCAGCTTTTTCTACTACTCGTTATTTTTTTCGCGTTGTCTATACGGGAAGCGGTCCGTCCGACCAAATCCGGGCAAAACGAAAGAGAAAAATGATCCGGAGTTCGCAGGGTGAAAAAAATTGTCAGAATTTATACCCGATGGCGGGCAGATACCTTCAATATCCTGGCCGTGGAGATAGGAATCGGGCGACCCCGGGCAAATGAGAAGCGAACGAACGAAAGCGCGAACCAAAAAAGAACGAAAAAGAGAGTGTACACACGGGAGAAAAGGAAGCTGAGAGAGGGGAAAAAAAAATTTTCGGCAACGCGGCGTACCCGCGGTGAATCGAGGCGCAACTAAAAGAGAATTTTCATCGGTTTCCGATAATGGGTCCCGTTCGACTGCTCGACGAAGTCCACCGCCAGTTCTGCCGGCCGCGGCGCGACGCGGCGCACGGGGCTGGAATCAGTTCGTACGAAAATCCTCGTTAGCCACTTTGGGTCCCCGCGACGAGCCATATCGTTGATTGAACCGCCTCACGATTTTTCTCGATGGAAAACCCGGGCGATCTTCCATGAGGCAGCTCGATTAAAACAAATTGCACACACACGCCGCTGCGAGATTTGTTCACCTACGGTGTTTTCTCTACACGTTCGTACCTCCGTTTGCTTTCACCGACCTTTCCCCCGGCGTTCGCCTGCCAAACACGCCGGACCGACGGAAATTGGAATCGCCTATTGTTTAATTAGAAAATAAATCATTGGTAAAATTCCCTTATGGAACTCTTCTTTCTCCAAACATCGATTCCCTCAGACACTGTCTGACAATCGATGCGGCACGTTTTCCTTTCGCACCTTCGACTTTCCTCGCTATTTTTCAGCCGGAAGCCGCCCTGTCCGTGTGCGTTTGCAAACACACGGTCGCGAGGATCGAGAGCATAACCAGAGAGAAAGAAATGGGAATAAGAGAACTCAATCGAGCGAGGCCAAGAGAGGAGACGAGCAGGCGAAAGAGGATTTCCATCGATTTCCGATAATTCCGGTGATCGGTTCGCCGATAAAGTTCCGCGGAATCGTTCCCCCGTCTAATTCCTCCGGACGAGTTCCGTATAAATTCCGGTTGGCCATTTCGCGCACAGTCGGCTCTCCCTTTTCTCTTTATCCGAGTCTTTGATTGCTCGTACACACTCGCCTAGTGCGCACGCTAATTCACGCCACCCTCCGGCTCTGCACCCGGCCATTTTTTTTCTCCTCCGAGAAAAACAGAGCAACGGGATGAGCCGTTTAATCGACCGATATAACGCGCACGCGAGCTTGAGGAAAAAAAGGAAGCCCCACGCTCGACTGCGATCGAAGCAGGTGAAACGAGAAACGACGCGTTCGCTTCTTCTTCTTCTTCTTCCGGTTTCTCCCGGTCACGGGTTAAGCTCGTGTAGCATTCAGAATTCGTTTCGGATTCTGTTAGAAAGTCTGTAATGAATTTCCCAAATGTAGGACGATATCTCCTTTCTAATTATACGTACGTCGCAAATTGTCGCGCATTATGCTTTCTACCGTCATCGGTATGCAAATTGCGTACAGATATAGAAAAGCAATCTCCACATTTCCATGTATATGCACGTGAATTTATATTTATGTTACGCGTCACGATTATCTACGTTTATCTGTACGTTATCCGTGACATAATATCCGTTCCACCAACTGACGTGACGCACGCCCACGCCGACCGTTATCCCGTATAATCTACACCGGGAAACAAGATTTCGAACATCCACCCCAAACCCGAACTTCGGCATCGATCCCGGGCTCGTCCAGCCCCGGGTAATCTCTGATCTATCGCCGAATCGGCCGCACTTTCCGAACACGGAACGGCCTTTGCGTCAGGCCTGTTTCCATCGCGCGACGGTAATTGCTCTTGGCAAATACCCGTCTAAACAAGACTCCTCTCCCCAGCCAGCTACGAGAAAAAAAAGAAGAATCCTGGGGTTTGCGAACTTAATTGAGCGACGTCACGCGACACGCGAACATTTACGGTTCCTAAGGGAAAAAGAAACCGAGCCGGGTTCATCGGTTTCCGATAATTCAGATCGGAACCTTGTATCCCGTATCCGTATCCGGTGCGGTATCGAGTCAACCGGCACGAGATCTCCGCGATGCCTCTCTCGTTAGCTGGGATAGTTAATCGTGTCTCCGTGCGTTCCAGATACCCGTGTGTGTGGCGTGTACACACTGCAAGGGTTGTCTCGCGTGGCTACCATGTGGGTTGACCACGTATTACGCCGGCCGGGTACACGAGAAGCGTGTACGGTTTCAGCGTGTACGGCCGAGGGACCACACATGACGTCTCTTAATTAACAAAGGTACCTGCACCCTGTGCCACGCTCGCTGTTGCTACAGAGACGGTGGAGGAGGTCGGAAGAACGCGAAGAATTCGATGAAGCGATAGAGGGTCTCAGATTCTGATTCGCGATATCGCCAATGTATTTTTGTACCGGGGTCGCGAATCGGGGGACACTGTTTTGAGTGAGTCAAGGTGTTTGTGCGTTAGGGCGGAGGTTATTTATGGCAGTGAAAGTGGTGAACAATGAGGACTTGAGCGCTGACGACTCTATTTCGGGCTTGCCTGGAACATGTTTCATTCATATGGAACTTTGGAATAGACAGACGTCAGAGAAGAGATTTGTAACAATTAGAAAGTTCCTTTATTTTTGAATCTGTAAAGATTTACGTCCAGCGTAGAAAATGAGAAATCCAAATCCGAGCACGAAGAGCTAGGTGAGAGAATAGAAAAGATCGTAAAAAGGCAAAGAACAAACACGAAGAACGACGGCCACGACAGGGAAGCGGAGGAGGTGGAGGGAACGAGGGAAAAGACAAGACAAGAGCTTCCTTGTTTTCTCGCGTCACGTGCCTTGTTATTTTAGCAGGCCGAACACCGCGTCGACCAAAGAGTAACGCTTCGTGCTCCGGGCTTCATTGACCCTTCCCCTCCTCCACCTTTTTCCGTGGCTACGCGTACACGCGGATCTCTCGTGAGCCAAGCAAGCGCATCTAACGAGCCTCGAAATCAAGGTGCTCGCTTCGACGCTGCTGCGGTGCCGAGCGCCGACCCTCGTTGACACTTTGACACCTCGTCGCGGCGGTTCAAGGGTGCTAATTTCCTAGGCAAAAATACCGAGCCGAGTAAATTGAATTTCCACAAAGAGCGACTCCGCGTTTAAACTGACTTCAAACTCTTGTCCCGTAGTTTTTTGTTTGGAATCAAACGCGGATAAACGAGGAACGTTTTCTATAGATTTTTTTTTAAATTTTACCAACGGAGCGACTCGGATGAAATTGATCGTCCGACGCGTGAAGGTTTTTGTACACGGTTCTCGAGTGGCAGTTTGAAAAGGGAAGCCCTTTCGTCCCCGGATTATCTGGAACGATACTTATTTCGGTGCGGAGAAGTCAGGGCGCCAGGTGCAAGGCGAATACGTAGTTCGAACGACTTTCGACGAAAGGCGGGCGAAAGGCCCGCGGGGTGTTGTTCAAGAATTAACGTTTCCCATGAATTCGTACCCGTGGAACCAGCGACGAGGACCAACTTCCGGTGTCGAGGGTGTTCTGAAATATACAATAAGGCGGCGGCGCCTGGACGGCTCGAGTCACCATTGTGCTCCGGGCCATTCACGGATCACGACCTTTGGGGCCCAAATAATGCCAGTCAAGTCCCTTCCGTGCATCCGTTGCTCCCAGAGAACTTTGTTATGCCGTCATCCCGGTTAACAAGTGACATACACCGTGTCTCTCGAGTCGACTATCTAAATCGTTTTCTCAGATTCTCATGAAGCGTTCGTCTCCACGTCGAGTTCATAGGTTGTTATTTCATTAAACGAAAAAAAACCAAGAGAGAAAGTTTAGATATTTTATCTGGAAAAAAATGAAAATTTAAATGTTCGATTCCATCCGCGAGTGGTCCATCAATTCTTTCATCAAGACAAGCTGAAGCGTAGGCAGGCTCGAAGAGAATGGAGATTCGATGGACAGCCTCTCGCTCAGATCGAGAGATGAAATCAGGTTGAACCTCCCTCGATTCGTTCCGTTTGGACAGCCGCGTATTATCTCGGAGAACGGTGCGCGACAACAGCCTCTCGTATTGTATTCGAAACCGTGGTCAGAGGTCAGAGTTAAAGGGCGGTCAGTGTACCCAGCACTCGAAGGATAGACACTTCTCAGGTGGTTTAGACGCTGCCTCTGGTATCGGGTTAAAAAATAGACGAGCTCTTCTCGGTTATTAAATCTGCATTCATCCATGATACTCACTAAACTGGAGTGAAAGCGAATTAAATGAACGGACCGGGTGTAAAAATGGCGAGCGCGAATGAAAAGGGTGAATATTAAAAGCGGAAGAGGGGCGATGATGCGTACTGCACCGAGTCGATTGTGCCGGTCGAAAGCGTGGCGCACGTTAAGGCGTGTAATTAACCGAGTAACAGAATCAGATACGACCGGTTGGATTGCGTGCGCCCGCCACCCGCTGCGCCTTCTTTCTCTCGCTACCGATAACTGCAGCCAGATCGAATCGGCGACGATCCGCCCCACAGTTGTCAGCCGCACCGTGCGAGTCGAACGAAATTTCGCCTCCTGCGCTTTTCGCGGATTCATCGTTCCATTTGCACGGCACAATGGGGCCCGTGTACCGATTTGCATTGAAATTGCGGCTCTCGAAGATTCGAATCGCCGTCGAGGCGGCATCGAACGTTGGTAAAAATTTGTCTCCTATAGTTCGCCGTGACTATCAGTTCCGGCTACAATTCCCATGCTGTTTTCTTAGTTGAAAAAAATCGTATCATTGTACTACATACGATTATTTCGATTTAATCGGGTCAAATTTTACTTCGTACGCTCGGAAGCGTTGAGAAATTTCAGAGCTTGCATATCGCGTGTTGTAATTCGATCGGCCGATATTTCACGATCTCGGGCCTGCGGTCTGCGTTTTACCCGACGTTCTCCGCGATTTCAACAATAATCGGCGCGCTTGCACAACCGGCGCGCTCGGGCCTCCTCTCGGTGCAGCCACTCTCTCGTTTGATTTACGATAATTAAAGCTGACCCGACCTTTCGTCGCGGTCGAGTAAAAGAATGGCCAGAAACAAAGAGAGAGAGAGAGGGATCCCCGGTCGGGCAGTGCGTCGATGAGAGACTACGAGAGATTAAAGAGTTTTTCTCCCTTCGCCCACCAATCGACTCTCTGTACTTTTTTCGACCGTGCCACTCGTCTCTCTTCCGCTCCCGGTGACTTGTCAGTCCAAGAACGGGCCCCGTTCCGACGTGGAACCAACCGGGTAATTGCTCGCTCGGCCCAACCCGCCAACCAGCGTTCGCCGCTCGCTTTTGCATTTTTGCTCCGGGCGATTTCGCGAGATCCACTTCGACCTCCCACTACAGTTCTCAAGGAGTCTGCTCGCTTTTTCGTTGCGCGGATCGAAGGTCGTATCGCGGACCCTGATCGCAATTTACTTATGATACTTATCGTTCGACGAGCCCCGTGCGCGGATGAGTAATGGCTCCTCACACGGCTGGATCCCGACAAAATATAGAGACCGTTGTGCCATCCGAACTCGGTACTCCAATCATATTTTAGATTGAAACAATCGTAACTCTCTGAATCACCGCTTTGTAAGAGTGAAAGTAAAAATGATTGTTTAATTTCTTTCATAAATGAATAGCGCGAACTCGATCACGTTCGAGAATCAAACGAGTACTCTCGCGTCGCGATGTGATGAACGATTAGCTCCAAGTTCTAACACAGCTATTTGCCTCCCCCGGTCATTTCTCATCTCCCTAACAAATTTCTAGCATTCATCGCGTTAATACGCCTGACGCGCGGCGTAGACTTTAGCCATTACATTAACAAAACTCATTCGACGCGTTCGCTCGTTAACTAGACAATGCACTCGCATGAATCATCCTCGAACGAGAAACGATCTCCTTCGCTCACGTATCCTAAACGTCGACATTTTTAGACACGAGCCGAAAACGTGAGAATCAGCGAGGGCCCTCGTTAATTATTAACGGTGCTAATATTTTCCACGCCGGAATTATGACACGATATCACGCCGCGATAAATCGTCGGGGTAATTATTCACACGGGTCTTTCTACAGCCGCTCTTTCTCTCCTGCCGGCCAGGCATGCACGCGGTACAACGCTCGCTCACCTGGCCAAGAATTTTCTTAGGCGCCGCGCCGCTTAGTTTGCTCTTCGTTGCGACGGCGACGCTTACACGCCAAAGCGGAAGGCAGGATAGTCGTACCGCACAATCGGAGTCGTTTAAATGTCGACGCGTGCAATTTGCATCGCGCGATGCCTCCTCGCCGATGGAAAAATGAACGACCGTGCACACAGCTGTCGGGAACCCGTAATTACTCCGTGCGTTAGAAAACTCCGTCTCGGTGTTCGTGAAGCGTGTCGGTGAGCGTGAAGAGTTCGCAGGTACGGAGTGACTCACCGTACATTAAAACGGTTGAGTTTCTCGAAATTTACTCGTCAAAAGGCAAACGGTACTAGCATTTTTCGCTGGATAACGCATTGCCAATTATTCGGCTACCAATTACGTGTCTCTCTACCGAAAGGTTTTCTTGTACAACAGTAATAATTATCGTGACTTATGGAAATGTCTTTGAAACACTTCGAGCCGTGTACCCAGCCGTGGCAACGTGTTAATCCGGCGAGCAACTCCTCCGAAAGAAGATTTAGAGAACGCAATCATTTTCGAGGCTCTATGCTATACTCTATCGGTTCTCGCTCGGAGCTACGGATACCGCGAACTTTCTATCGTTATGTGTAACGATGCTTTTTTCCCCTGACCGCCATTCATCATCTCAGTGCGCGGGGCGATGACGAGGCCGCTGGATGTCATGTCGGGGACGCTAATTAGTCGAGCACGTGGTCTCGCGAGCTTCGCGAGGAGGATCAAGCACCGTAAGGTCGCTTTAAAACTAGCTCCGGGGGAGCTTCATCCATCATCGAAAACGGCTGGTGTGTAACGTAACCGGTCGGTTATGCCCACCACTAATCAGCAACGCTGACTTGCCGTATAATTAGATCTGGCCCTCTCGGTTTACCCTTTCCCAACCTCTCGTGACTAGTCTCCCGCGCGTAGAACACGATCGCGTTCTTGGTTTCCGAGGGAATCGCAAAAAGCGTGTCCGTGTTCGGTTTCTTTTCCCCAACGCTGATCGCTCGCGTTATATGTTCTTGGATGGAGGGTATGTAACGACGAGTAGCCATAGGGGTCGGGAATCGTGTGAGAGATTAAAGTTCTTGCGCCTGGTGCAGTTTTATGAAGAACGAGTTTGTTCGAAGCTAAACAGTTACGATCGCAATTACAGTTACAATAATGAATATTGGTAATAGTTGCACTTCTTATCTCGGACCTAACTGCACGCATTCGAGGCAACGAGGAAACAATAAAACGTATGTATGTAACCTCCTCCTTGGAAGTTCGCGGGTTTCTCACCTTATCCGGCGATCTAGCGAACGGGAGCCGGTCGTTTCGCGTTCCCGTGACTAAAGAACTCGCGCCAAGTGGCGCCCGTTCGTCACCGGCCGTTTCACGGGCGAATTCGCGAATCGATAGAAGGCATTTCCTCTGCTCTGATCCGGTTCATTCGCATTCATGAGATTCATAGGACAAAAGGGAAGTTCACTCACCTTCGCCGGATGTGAAGGGTCGCACCAAACCCGGCAACAGCACGCAGAACAACAGGAACAAGGAACACGATTTCGGCCTCATCGCGTATGCGTCACCGTTTATCAGTCACTCGTTCATCTTACGACCAAGGAGAAACTTTTTCGACAGTCGATTTCACCTGGAACACAAAGATAAAATTTCTAGTTCAAATATAATTCCATTGAAGCATCGTACGTTTAATGAAAATCATTTGCACATAATGAAGGAACGTCGTTCGCAGGTACCCTAGATCTCCGACGATGTTTAAATTATAATTTCTGCAGGCTTCGATTCAGCGGGAAATATGTCGTGGAAATTAAAGAGAAACGTTTCGAGGATCCTTAATGCCACTAGAAATCCGGCAGCTTTCGTGCTTCCAACCGTAAATTCGAGGATCTTAAAATACGTATCCACCCTCCGGGCGAGAGGAAAAAATGAACGGTTTCCAGTCGATTCACGAGAAACCCTTGGGTAGGGTGCGTTTTCACCGAAAATACCCGCTGTAGGCCGGCCGGCTGTGGTCTTTCCTCAAAAAGGAGAAAAAATATATGGAAACTTCCCGGTGGCACGCGATGCCAGGCGGGGAGGGCGGAAGCGGCATCGACGCGGATTGAACGTTTCTCGACGTCGAGGGGCCCACGCTCCGTTGTTTCCACCGGAAAACGTAAAAGACGGTTAGGAGTGGCGAGAGTGCCACTTAGGTGCCGGCTGGCAACCCTTGCCATTTAAATATTCCACCGGTACCGCTTTCCCGCACGCGAAATTTCCTCGTGGCGCCTTCGCCTTCGTGCCGCGTCTCTAATTCCGCCCCTCTGATCCCCTCACTCTTGGAACCAGTAGCGGCGGTTCTTCCCTGTGGCCAATTCGGGCTCGATAACCTGCTCGAGGATAGTTAATTATTAAGGGCGATCCGTCTAGAAAAACTTTGGCTCGTTTCCGGGAAATCGCGATCCAGGAGGGTTAAAAGATTGCCTTGATGCATTATTCGTGGCCACCGAAGGTTCCATAAATATTTATCGTACGGTCACTGACGGTCATCTACATATTTCATTGTAAAAAAAAAATCGCCAGGAGATTCGATCGGCCGTGCGTAAAATATTTGCATCTAGTCGAGATCGAGAAAGGTACATACCAGAGTTTAATTAAAGTCCAGATGAGACTTTACGAGCCACGATAAAGCGTTACACGCGGGCGGGCGTATTTGCTCGAAGGAACTAGTTTCGTGTATACATATACGTGAGTCGAGACTCGAAGGAAATCCACGGGAACAAACGCGCGAGCGAGAGGAACACGTCCTGGCGGACTTGTAAGCTCGACTATCGGTGGATTGAAACGCGACACGAGGATCGTTTGTCAACGTCGTCCTTCGTGGTCCTTTGTAAGCTTCGCGGTTCGCGTTTGTAAGCGTTTCGAGCTAATTCGTTCGGGATCGAAAGTAGCTGTGCCAGCGTGCACGCGCTCCTGTCAGCGGTTTAAGTAATTAACCGTGATGGATTCCGCTGTTACCTCAAGAAATTGCCTAGATAAAGCCTCGCGTTTCCAACAAGCTAGTTCCTGAGCGTTGCGTCAAAGATCAAGTGCTCGGCTCTTTGTAATGCCGTTTAACACGGAATTCGCGCATGCATCCTACGCAGTACGTACTATTCGCGTTATAGAAGTCTCTATTCCGAATTTGTTCTTGGAAACGAGTTAGATTCCGCTCGACACGCGTCGAAATTGTTTTCCACGCAAAGCAATTTCAGCCGCGAACCGATACGTGGAATCGGCAGAACGTGAGAGATACGTCCACGGGAGCATGCGTTACGGAGATGAGAGTGAGGACTTCGAGATTCATGACGCGGAATAAACTACGGGATGAGGAGTGGAACGCGTATTATACTCGCGTATCGGCGTCCCTACACAGATTTCCCATCGGAGGAAAGGGTCGCCGAGGTCTAATCCTCCAGGACGAGGACTCAATTTATAAACGTGCCCGGTATTACCACTCAAAGGCTTAAAACACTCGACACCGAGCAGACGTCGCGTCGTCGTCGTCGTGCCGCGGACGAACACATGGCATTTCACACTGCAATTGCCACGAATGCTTCTCTTCTCACCACCCTGACGCGCCTGGCCGCTAGTATTAGTAGTAGTAGCGGTAGTCGGGGATAAGCGCGAGTGAAACTCGAGTGCTATTCACCCGGTTCGCCGCTTCACGAAAGCCTCTTTCTTTTCACGGGACCTGTTTCCAGGGGTCTTCCTCGCCACTTTACAACTACGGTGCCGTTTCGCGAGGCGCGTGTCCTGCCCTTTTCCCCTTTCTCTTTTTCTCTCTTGGTAACGATCGATTCAGCTACTCGAACAATGGAAATCGATCCTCTTTATGGATTTAGTAGCTAACGAGTGACGACGACGCTGCTGGACCGAAGCGGTTTAAAGCTACGAAGGGCAACCTGGGTATCGCGTGACAACAGGTAGGGAGGATCAACGAGGCCGGATTCCCGGGAGTATTCTACCGGCTACCGGTTTGCGTGGATGTATCTATTCCGCTACAGCCGCGGGGAACAGGAACGGTGAGGCCCCCAAGGAACGCAACCAGAGACGATCCGCGCGTGCTTACGCGAGGAATGTACCGGGCGGTGCTTTTCGTGTACGCTGCGATGAGAGAGTTAGATTTTTTGGCGCCTCCGACAGGGAATTCGTTATTGATTGTGTTCGCGTCTGGCAAATTTCCCTGATACTCCCGGGAACGAATTCTATTAGGGGTCGACGCCTCCCTGGAAATGCGGTTTTCTTGTATAGTTTCAGGAGAAATGCCAAACGCGTGGCGCGCGCGAAACGTGCAAGATTATTGATATGGATTATTGTCTATTCAATTTCTGATTCGAATCGAAGGAATCGACGATGAATGTATAATAGCGGGGTGAGCCACAATAGCGCATATGGCGCTGCAGTGATTTAATTAACCTCGGCAGACCGTGCGTGAATTTTCGAAACTGATATCTGCTGGTATTTAATCTGACGAAGTTTCGCATCCTACCATAATCGATACGAATGGTTTCGGGTGTCAGGCGACGGCTGTGCCGTCCTGTCTCGCTGACCCTGTTGGCGTTTCAGGGTCTACGCGGATCGATCGAGACCCTCTTGCCGAAAGAAGAAGCTGCAACCCCTGGCAGATCGCAGGGGAATTCGCAGGAATAGAGGCCAATTACGACTTCATCTCTCTCTCTCTCTCTCTCTCTCTCTCTCTCTCTCTCTCTCGATTACACGCTTTACGGTGGGAAACGCGCATCCTGTTATTTCAACCATAGCGGGACGCGAGATCTCACGGCGTTGTAAAATCCGTCGTTAATGTTTCTAATACCCGGGAATGTTGCGCATTTTACCTTACATCCGTGGAAATTATGACGCGCGCGGTAAATTTGCATACGTTTTGCGTAACGCACGGCAAATTCTGCGGGATCGTGTTCCATGGTACCTATCCCCCAGGAACGGACCGCGAGAATTGGCTTGAAATTTATGCAGCCGGCTCGATGGTAAAGATAGGAAAACCATAGGAGGGAATAACCCGAATGGCTTAATCAAAAAGAGTCTTGTAACTTGTTATTTGTTTGAGATGCGGGTAGTTGCGATCTTTTATGAGTCGCGGAGAAAGCGGAGGAGCCATAAAAATAATATGGAGAATCGTAAACGTCTCTCGCTAATCCTGTAGCAGAAGAATCAGCCACTCTTGATCCTTGCGTCTCTACGACTAATCTTGAAACATCATAAAAGAGTGATTTCCCAGTAAATCATCCGGGCATCCCCTGCAGCCCGCCCACGCGTGTCCATGGATCATTCCGTAGAACCGCGAGAAGCGTCGTAAATCCTGTGATACTCTCTCCTCCTCCTCCATCTCCGAAACATACGTGTTATTCCCCCGAATTCCGAACGAATCCGAACAGTTACGATCGGAGGTAAGAAGGAAGTTGTGAGAGCGGCGTAAGTCGATTGAAGTCGGTGCTCAAGGACCCGTTTTGTGTGCTGGAGACCCTCTTGAGAGGCACACGCGTACGGCACACCAGGTATGCGGCGTGCGCTTCGCCCCTCAGCCCCTGGCGATCTTTTCTCCCGTCGTTTTCTTTTCTTTTCCCCACCCCCTCCTCGCCCCTACGTCTCTCTTATTCTCCCTATCCACTGAACGTAATCCGAGAAGATTACGAGGTGAAATAAACATGTCAACCCCCCTGCGAATGCAGGGATGTGGGTTTGCGGAGCGTCTCCATAGACCGCGAGTAGAATATTCTTCTTCTGCTCGTCTCATGTTCTACCTGCTTTCCATCTAGCCAGATCGAAACAGAGATATAGTCATTTTCTAATTCACTCTACATCATTTCTGCTGGAGATTTATTAAAAGACATAGGAAATTCATAATTTCAGTCATGGTTCGGTTTAGATATACACTAATAATACTTAGCATGTGCAACGGAATTAAAATCACACTTTAAGAAATATCTTCTCATCCTATAATATAATTAAGCCACGTACTTCCGAAAGTCTATCGATCTGAGAGGTCACACGCCTTCACGTCGTCGTCCTCGTGTCTTCCTGGAACACATGGGGGTGGCGAGACGAGAGGTCGATGCAACGTGTACAAATTTGCGGCTACCTGCCAGGAACGAGGATTCAATTCGGTAGGACGTGGCCTGTTTCCAGGATTTATGGGTTTCTGGTGCACACCGTTGCGAGGTTTGTAACCTCGTCCATTACAATCGTCGATCCATCGATTTTCTCGAGCGCATCGAAAGCTCGCGGAGCGATGCAAGGGGCTGCTGAGAGACAGCGTTAAAGTGGCTAGGGGTGGATATAACCCGTGACTTTCAGTCTTTTAAAATTGTCAAGAGGGAAGGGTGGTGAGTTTTCACGGGAGTTGAAGAGAGGTCCACAGGTTTTTAACTGTGACTTTCGCTTGGGAAATTATTGCGGAAAGAACGGTCGCGCTGCGGTGGGATTTCTCTGAAGGATCAAAAGGATTCTCGTTATAAAAAAAAATCCGACGAACCTTTGAAAATGTTTTCCAAAGATTCTCTGCAAGTACACCCACTGCTCTAAAATCAATACTTGCAGAGGCACGATAAAACTCAACTCTCAAATTTTCAAGTATTTTATTAACTATAATGTGGGAATTGGAAGTTTTGCGTGATTATGTGCAAGGAATTGTTCTGCGCGGGTGTCTTGCACTCCCACAATATTTACATATTTGACGTTATCTATGTAAAATGATACCGTATATAATAATAAGTCGAAAATACCTTTGCAGTTTCTTTGACCGCTTCGTTAGGGCGTCATCGAGCGCGAATAAGAACGACTGGACGCTGAAAATAGGCGGGCCACGTGTGACTGGAAGGGAACGGCATCGAGTTGGAGAGGATCAAACGGTTTCTCCAACGCTCACGAATCACCCGTAGAGAATTATTTGACGGCTGGTTTTCCATGACTGTATACAAGTTTGGACGCGAAATAGACTCGGGGTTGTCGCATTCCTCCTCTGAGCACGTTTTTCCCGCTAGTATCTGTCTCGCGATCTTGACGCGACGGACCGAGCGCCAGAAGAAACTCGTTTCCCCGATACGCTTTCCCTCTAATCTCGCGTGTCGATCGACCGCCGTCATGCATAGCAAGCGTACACACACGCCCCGATCCTTTTGGGACGTTCGCGCTGTGATGAATGCCGCTGCTCGTCGGGGTTGCCTCTCATTCTCTCCTTTTCTCGCGTTTTATTGCTTCGCCCGGCTCCCGGTCAATTTGCTTTTCACCTTTATCTTGTCTCTCAACCTTCGCGCACTCGCGGCTTCGCTTACCCCGTTTATTTAGGGGTTAGTTCAAGAACATACTCCATAACTTTCACAAGATTTCCGCACGAATAATGCTTAGAAGGAGAAACGTGTGAAGCTGTTCGAGATAAAACCTACCCTTGATCCCTTGTTTATCTCCAGATCCTCGCGTTAACTTTCGAACCATCGGATTCACGCGTTGTTTGCCACAAATTCCTACCCTCTTACGTCTAATCCTCTATCTATCCCCGTATCTAAAGGATCTTTGGTCGATTCGATTTGTATCCGTTACGCTCGAAGGAGGAAATCTTATTTTTTCATCGATGGAGGGAACCGACAGAAATTCGTCGAAGCGTGAACAAGCTTTTTCGCGCGCGTGCACACGCGGAGAGCCGAGAGCAGGTAGAGGGACCCGTGAGAACGCAGATGGAGGGGCAACGCGTGCCAGGTGGGCCCCGGAGAGGCCGTTTGTGGGTCCTCCTCGGAACGTTGTTTCCTGCGGAGCCGATCGAGACCGCGATAAACGAAAAATCGATTCGTCGATCGAGATAACGCACGCCGCATCCGCGAGTTTTTAATGGAACCGGGCTGTCGTCCTCTCGTTCGACGACCGGCTTTACGCACTCCCGTCACGTGCTCCACGTTTCCTGTCCTCCGTGGCGACCGACGTTTTTCTTCGCGCGCCGGGAAATTCACCTGCGTTTCGGTTCGCCAACGTTACACAGGAAAATTGCTTTAGAGCGGATATTAGAAAGGGTCGAGCGATAATATATGGAGTATAGGATTCGCCGTGAACTCGCAGTCGCTCGCGATTACCCATGGATGAGAATAATCAACGGATATCGGCGATCGATATCTATGTAAAAACGGCGCCGGTTCGGTAATTACGGTAAGCACTCGAGAGAAGCATGTACTTGCACGCGAGCTGTGCAAAAAGCTGCCAGAAGGGAGATTAACGATCGAGTTTAAAATCGATTATCCTAATTATTCTCTAATACACGAGCCCGTCGCTCGAATCGTTCCAGTTTATTACTCATTCTCCTATCGAGTCGACGTCTAGCGAACGATCGGATAGCGCCACGCGGACTAATTCCGTCGGTGAACAAACGCGTTAGCGGGAAAAGCGAGAAAAATCGAAAGATTACGGTGACTAGACGAGCCGGCGAAGCGGGGGACTCCGTTACTCGACTTTGACAGACGTTATTAACGACTGAGCGACCTACGCGAGCTCGCTGCCGGCTAGATCGCCGCGAAGCGGCGCTCGATAAAGAAAGACGCTCCGCGTTTTCTTTTTCCGTCTGTCCGCGCGGAAAATAAAAGGAGGGGAACCGCGAGCCGTGCCAATGGATCCTCTCTCTTACATTTCTGCTCGCCGTCGCGGCGCCTGGTACGCGACACGCGTCCCTTTGAATATGTCCCCGTCAACGCTTTTCAACTTTTCCCGTGGTACTCGCTTTCGCCGCTTCCGCCGCCCGCTTTCAGCCCCGCGAGTCGATGAAACCAGCGGGCTGCACGCGATATCGCTGGGATTTCGACCGTTCTGCTCCTGTCTCACGAGTTTCGGGAGGATACGATTCTTTCGGATGTTTTCGAACGAGAAGAAAATTGCAGCTGTTAAATGAATTCTCATTATTAATTCATCGGAAACTGAGTCATTCATTTCTCTGGGTAATCTGCTAGTTCCCATTCACCGCGAGATAAAACGCAACTGAAATAAATATTTCCGACTCGTGAAAGAACCACCACCCAGGAGGTTCGCTTTTTATCTCGCGACAGAGCAAAACGACTCGCTTCTGCGGAACATAGTTTCCGTGGAGTATCGTTTCGGTCAAAGGAGACAAAGGGGTAATTATTGAGTTGATATCGCGGCGACGATTAATGCCTGGTTATCAACGACGGACGTGAGATACGCTTATTAATTAATTGCGTTCACAATGCACACGCATGGCTGGGCCGAGAGAGCGAATGAGGGATACACAATGCGGCGGCGTATCGGAGACCGATTATTGTTAGTCGCGGCTCTCGCGATAGTTCCTCGTTAGCGGCGTCTATGATCGCGCCGTCAGTTCGAACGGGAGGTTAACAGGCCGATCGCAAACAACGCTCTATCTATCGAAGAGACCGCAGTTCCATGCGTTCATCGATTCCCGTGGAAATCGCGAACACTCGCGGATGAAACGGACGAAAGGGGGCTGCGGTCTACGCGTCTCTATTCAGGAATCGCACAGACGCGCCTGTGACCGTGAATTATCGATCGTCCAGACCGCAGGCAATGGGATGCAGATCCTTGCGACTTTCACGAGCACGACGATCGCCCAGTTTATGGCCACCGATACTCGTGACAGTCCGTGAGAGGAATCTTGCCGATTTTTATGTCTCATCTTCATCGAGTTCACAAAATAGAATCTGCTAAGAATTTCTAAACATCGTAGCCAGTGTATCGTTATCGGTTTGGACTATGATTAGAAAATGTTACGGAACGTTCATTTGATTGCATTCATTAGATCAATTATATTTTCACTCATTCACCGTCATCCTCTGTACATTCAAGACACAACATTCTCATTTACAAAGATAATTACGATAATGAAGCTCTTTATTATGATCAATGAACTTTAACTCTTGGCCCGAGCCTAATTTATCTACGAGCTAAAAACGTTGCCCAGTACGAAGAGCCCCTCTGCATGTTCCGTGTATTTACGAGGGAGCCGCGGCCCCTCTTTGCACGCGTTTCGCGTAAATCGCCTGAAAACTTACTGCTATACAAGCGTACATGCACGTAACGATCCGGAGTAGAGAGCACGTAATACTGGTAAGTGGGCCCGAATGTTTGCGAATCTCCGTTCGATGCCGCACACGAATCGAGCCACTTTACGATTATGCGTTCCGCCGGAGGTCGGACCGATCGTTCGTCTGCGACCACCAGCGGAACCCGTTTCCATTTCGCGTATTTTTCGGAAACGGGAGCATCTTGCGCGCACCCCTGTCGAGCTGCCGCAACTTTATACGATGTATGTACTTTTTGCGAACCCGCTCGTTCCGCGCGGTTTTATGGAATCTCGCATGATCGGACGTCAACGTTTACTAGCTTTGAAAATATCTACTTTAAAGCGGTCGCTACTTCTCGTTTAACGAGACACCGTAAAACGACAGTGATTGTATTTTAAATCATGCTCCCAAAGATGTACTTTATTGTGCGAATGCGTGAATGCAATCTCCAAGCTGTGTACATGTTTGCACATAAGCTTTTGACTAGAGTTCGTTCGCGAAGTTCGCGGAGCAACAAGTATAAACCGTGTCGACAAAATTTTTCCCGATTCGGTAACATTCGGAGCACGAATCCGTCGCTGGCAACGGAATATCGCCTTCATCTTGGCGACTTAATTTGAATAGAAATAAAGAACTGGCGAGGCGAGTCGAGCGTAAGAGGCAGTAGAGAAAACCGTCGCGGCTTTTTAACGCAGTTTTCCACGGGTGACTTTTAAGCCGTGGCTCAGCGGGGGTTCGCCTTACCGGATAATCGGCCTCCCAATTCCGTTCGGAGCTTTTCGAAATACTCGCTCGACCGTGATCAGAAGCATGTTCGTAGAGTAAAAAGAAAACGAGACAGCAAAAGAGGCGAAGAACGCTCGAATCGCTCGTTAGAGTTCCCCGAGAATATTCAGCCTACTCCCGGGAACTTGTTCAGTTTTAATTGAATAACTTCTCGCCAGAATTGTGTACGGGTCTAGTTTTAAAAATATCGACAAGAACTCACTCGTAGCAACTGGGGTCTCGGCTGGTGAAAGAAATCCAGCTTGCGATTTTCGAGTCGTCGCACCAGTTCAGTGTTCTCCGGGCACTGTTTATCCACATACGAATATCTCACTGCACTGCCACTGATACGTCGTGTTCACCTAACTTTACGATAGAATCCGATCATTTTTCATCCTCCACAATCCAATCTTACACTTCTCCAAACTATCTGCCACCGTCGATCGACGTAGCGCGTTCGAATTCCTTTCTATCCGTTGGCATCTCGCGATCGGAGGGTCGTAGTACACGGCGCACGCCACCCTAACAAAACAATCGAACACCGAGCGAGCCCCAACGCGCGCGGCTCATGTCGGCCAACTGACTCGGAGCAGTCGGAGCGCAGGAACCTCGAAGGCCCTTCGTCTCTTGGGCGCCGGTGCTCGTGGTGGTGGAGACGCCGCGGCCGCTCGACGCCGGTGGTGGTGGAGGCGGTACGGTGGTGGTGGCGGAGACGAGTTCTGGAAGCGTTGCGCTGCTCGCCAGAGCTGGTGGGAGCGCGGATGCTGGGCTAGCACGCGATTCGGAGTGCCGCGCGAGCTGCCGTCACAAGCGGGTCGACCATTGCTCCGTTTTCAGGATTATTAGTTTTATACGAACAAAATATGTTAGCAGAATTTTCATTTCCCGTACGCTACATTGTAGAGCGCGATTACTATGGGATTCGTATCGTTACTACGTCAGGATATGATGAATCATTCTATGTTTGTATTCGAATGAATAACTGTTGTGTGATGCATGACAGACGGCCAGGCCTAATATTTGTGTATCGAGAATGATACGTTACGATGTGACAAATGATCATAACCTCATGTATTACGGACCAGCTCTTCGATATTACATTCTTAGTACCTCCTCGAATCAAACGTTTTTAAACACTTGAAACTGCACTTCGTCCATAAGTAGATGCAGTCCCACGCTATCGTTAACCATACGCAACAGAAACTGTGTATAAAAAAAAAAAACGGAATGAAAGGAATAAAAAAAGCCGGCAAACAGACTGCACAGTTTTACTCCCATTAAAAGGCAACCCTTAAGAGGTGAACACGCGGCGCTCGTTTCCTGTCGAACAGTACGGGGTCACGGGTTCACGGCCGGGGAGGCCCGATAAAAAAAAAGGTTCAGGAAATCAGAGACGTTCTTCCTTAGACCGTTGCATAAATTTGCTTTTTCACCAAATAAATACTGGCCTGGCTATTTATTTACGTTGACCTGCGATCTGGTCCCAGTCCCGATCGGCCCGTCCTTCGAATCGTTCCCGGTGTACAACGCTGCTGACCAGAAAACTTGTCGCCAGCGTTGGACCCGGTTAAATAAATGTTGACCGTGCGAGCCGGGTACCGCAAACAAATCCATTAATAACAGAAATTTAACCTCGTCGAGATGAAGCGCAACGGGCGCGCAGTGTGCATTTAGCGTTTTCGATTGTGCGCCTCCTCTGTCGGCGGAATCGGCGTTGTCGGTGTCAATTTATATCTGCGGGCAGATTCACCGGTTACGCTAGAATAATTTAATAACGTTCGAATGCTCGGGGTGAATCCCGCGTCCTTGTTCAACCGTGTACACCGCGTTTCGGTCGCGTTTACTCTTTGTCCGGCGTCGCTCCACCCTAGAATCGGAGAGCAGAGCGAGAGAAAGAGAGCGGCGCCGCGCAATTAGCAAGACTGTAATCAAATACAGCCCCGGATAGTTAATATCGACGAGCACTGTCCCGGGACAGAGGCTCGCTGTCTCGTTAGCGCCGAGGCAAACACGCGCTACGAGCCTTTTCTTCCCTCTCGCGATCGGGGTAGGGATTGATTGATTGGCTGATAGAGGCGCGAGTACCTCGACTCGATGTATATACGTTCCCCGTCTTCTGTTTAAACTTCGCACACGTTGTTCTTTGTCAGTCGATCCACACGGCATAAAACGATCTTCCGTCCGTGAGAAAATAAACTCGATGCGTCAACCGACTGCGCTGAAAGCGCGTATGGCGTATACATTGTCATACACGCATTTCGGTAAACAGTACTTAGTAACGAAATAAATACATTAGTTTGGTAATACTTAGGATATGCGTATCCAAGACGACGGCACGTCCGCATCACGTGTCTATTAACCGCAAGTTCTTTTCGGAGACCAACGGACAATGGAGAACAGGACGAAAATTCTACCCTTCCTACTCAAGCCTCGCCCCTTTGCTGGAAGATGATCTTCTCGTAATCCTATATAAACACGGTTATTTTTATCCCATTACGGGGCGGTTCCGTAACGGCCTGTAGAACACGGGGCCTGCATAATGCCATGCTGCGCTCGTACACGGTGCACGGCCCGCTTCTAAGGACCGTGCCGACGAGCAGGGATGACCGCAGGATCCCGAGGGATGCCACACCCCCTCCTTTGGTACCCGGCGAGGCGCCCAGCGGGAATCGCCCGGTGCGTGATACAGCCCTTCGAATCCTGGGCCCTGGCCCTTGGGTCCCCGCATACCTACGAGAACCACTTTTTTCCCTCTCATCCGTCGTGTAGATGCAGGATGGCCGACAGGTCGAATTTTGATGAAGCTTATGAACTTTATATGCGGACCCTTTCGTCTCGAATTTATGAGGAATCGACTACTGGTAAAGATAATCGTCAGAATGTTTGTTGGTTTTGAGAAAGTCCAGAGGAAAGTAGATATCATGTGTCGTTGAAGGAATATTTATTGGCCAGGAGTTCCTTCTGCTTGGACGAGCACTTTTACTTTGATATTTTCAGTACGAAGAAAGGGTCCGAATTTATTGATCAAGCTAACCTAACGATTAAGTCGTTAAATTTCAAGTTACATCTTTTGTTAGGGGTTTGTTATTTTACATGATTCTCGACGTGATGTGAAAATGAAACCAAGCATCGTTAACTCTGTCATCGTCTGCAAGGGTTGAGAGCGAGGTTTCTATTTTTGTTTATCCGCGCGACGGTAATTTTCTCCCCGGTTTATTTTCGTAAATTTCCTCGTTGTTGCCCCGTGCATCGATGAGGGTTTCTTTGATGTTCGGCTCTGGGTTCAAGTGTCTGTGGATCTTGAAACGATGCGGGTCCAGCAGCGAGCCGGTCAACCTCGACGAACACGTGTCGCGCACTCGTCCACGAAATTCCACGGGTGCACGTGACGATGCTGCTACATCGGAACTCTCGAATCGGCGTGCTGTTAAAGTGCTTTGTCACGTAGGAAATGAATATCTCACAAAGTTCCGAGAAAAATCTGTAAGCCGAAGGTCCTCGAAAATTGCGCAAAACGAAATATTTTCGGATTTGTTCCTCCGCTTTGGTTTACCTTAAGAGGGAAATCTTGTAGTCGTTTCCTTCAAGCGCGCTCTGTAGAGTCCGTGAAAGATCTGCTTGGTTTATTGATTTTCACTAGCAGTAGAATGGTCGAAACATAGCTACCGAGGATAGTACCTCAGATAAAAGTAGATTTTTAAATGTGAAAGAAATGTTTGCTGAACAGGTAGCTCGAATGTCTAAGGAATAAAACACAAGCACTCGAGCAGGTAGGATTCTTTGGTCACCCAGGGAGACTGTTATCCTAGGCGCCGTTTCGATTACTTTACCACTAAACCGTCTCCCAAGGCTCTCCGTTCGCCTAAATGGTGTACGGTAACCTCGCAGTTTGTTTTAAGATCAAAGTGTCCGATTTTCTGCAGAGAGATAGTCCTAATTGACCAACCGCGTTAGCGATAACCTCCTGAGCCTGCACCGAAATTCCTCAGATCCCAAAAATCGAGAGGAACGCGTCGGTTGGGACGAGGCACCGGGTACAGAATCGAAACGTGATTTCGCGTAACCGGAGACAAACGATCGATCACGCTTCCGTTGGGGAAAAACTAGAAGGATAGCAGAAAAAAGCTCTCCGTGAGCGATGCGAGTCACCGAACGAAATTGCGAGGTCGCAACGTGAAAATCGATGTACCCGCGGCAGCATTTTTTACGCGGCTTGTCACTGGGTTCATTAATTTTCTCGGGGAAAAATCGACGTCGCTGCCTGTCTAGAGTTACCGCGGCGAGGCCTCTCGGAGAGAGTCCACCTCGGTGAAATCCGAACCTGTCCCATTTCTCGTAAGAAAAGGGAGAGCGGATTAAAAAGGAAAAAAAAAGAAGGGCGCGATGGAGTTGGGAGGGAGGACGGAGGAACTAGTGGAGATCTCGAGGGCTTTGTCGAATACGAAGGGAACGCGTGAAGGGCGGACGGTCTCTAGAAATCGTAAAAACCTCGGAGGGAACGCAATCGTTCAACTTCTTCCATTTGTATCATTGATCACTTATGACACGAAATAGATATAACAAATTGAAGAGAAAGACACGGAGTCATTCTTCACTAGAAATAAATTCAAAATATTTAGAGGTGGATCTGCATCCCTCCGGGTTGACTTCTTTATCTGGACACACGAATCTCCGACGGTCTTAAAACAAATGCATCCACTCACGGTCTGCACCGGACGAGCAGGTAGGGCAGAGCCGAGAGGGTCTGTGAACCTGTCCGAGGCCAGTTCGGCTCGCTAATAGTTCTTAATGGAATCGATAAGTTGCAGGACAAATCTGTGGTACTATCTGCCGGCGTAAAACTCGCGTCGGTCGTAAATTGTCGAACCGATGCGAGTTTTGATCGAGTCGAATATTCTCGTGTTACGTAAGACACTGTAGATCCTCGCTTCTTGTTTTTCCCTTTTAATACTACCGTCTGTTCTTTACGACGGATTCAAACGTTTTATGGGTAATAAGATTATTTTCGTTCGGCAATGAAAACATGAGGAGTTACAACACACTCGAATCGTGAGAATAAACGATGAGATTTCGATTTAACAGTCTGTGAAGTCAACATTCATTTATTACCAAACGTTGAAACATGCATTCAGCTATTTACATTTGAAATTTTCTAACGAGTGCATCAAGTCTGGTAGTCTACTTATTACTCTACCGAAATTCGTTACCAGACGGAGGAACAGTCTGCGAGTTACTCCCATTTGACGGAATCGCAATGGGAATAGCGGCCGGCAGCGAAGTCCTGGGGTCCATTGAAATGCGTAGGAACGCGTTCGCGGGGTAACTGCAGCTCCACGCATTCAGTCATAAGTGGCGCAACGGGCGTATAAAGCCTGTTGCGTATTGCGCGTGTATCCCGCAGCGGGGCCGAGTGCCTCTACTCGAGTTACTCGCCACTCGCTCGGGCTCGTTCACAATTGTGTCACCACCCCGCTGCCGAGCCGAAACCACCCTTGTATCGCGAGTACACCGTGTAATGAACGCGGCCGGCTATTTTTTTCCTTCTGAAATCGACCGGCTGCGCCACCCCTAATTTTTCCTCGTTATTATTGCATGTACAATGTACAC